CATCATGAAAACGAATCAGTTTAAAGTTAAACGGATCTGGTGCACGTCACCCAAGAGCTTCAATAAGAAATATTCAGCTGATATAAATTGAGCAGACCATCGTGCCTGCCGGAAACCGAACGAAGCGGAATCTCTCAATCCGTCGACAGACTTGAAGGAATACCTGCTGCTGATCTCGCTGGGAATGCTGTTCTTCCTCCTCGTCTGGGTCGCCGGCACCTGCGCCCTCCGCATCGCGACCCGGAAGGGGGAAGGCCGGAGAGACCCCGTCGAGGCCAGGGCGGAGGGGGGAGGAGAGGGGATGGCTCCCTCGGTCGATCGCCCGTGGAACGACAGGGTCGGCCGGCTGAATCGGGAGGCGGGGAATGTTCCGTCTGGTTCCGGTTCCGGTGAATCCGGAAGCGAGTTTTCCGATGCCAGCGAGGAGTCTCTCCTTCCCTGAAGATGTCTAAATTTTCTTTACTTTGGCGTGGTTTTATACAGGTATATTCATGAATTCATAAAAAATATCCCCTTCAGCAATGCTTAAATTTGTCATTTTCATTACAAGATAGTAGTATCCCATACAGGCTTAATCAGGGAGACCCCTTTTTAAAATTTTTAATCAGAAATTTCAATATAAAGGAGGCTTGTACTTAGAAGCAGGAATTCTGAGGTCTTTATTAAGATATATGTCACTCATGCGCAAATCAAGATATGTAACCGAGTGCCCAGAGATTGAGAAATCACGTGACACGCATCATGGGAAAGAGGAAGACGCCCCGAGGGCACACAAGCAGACGCCAGACGACGTCCTCCTTCTTGTTCGCAATATGGCGGCGCGCGGTGGAAGGTGAGATTATCGGGGTCAGTGGGAGAAGTGCGTTGATTCCAGGTAGCTCCATGATGACTGTGATTCCGTGGGAACGATCGATCGTCCTTGTCGCTCTCGTCGTCTCGATTATATCATCCGTGGACGGTAGGTCCTTGGTGATCCGTGCGTTGAAGTCCCCACCCTATTGATATAGGCTGTACGCGCTTAACCGTAATCATAGGTTGGGCCCTGGGCCAGAAAAAGGCCTAGACCTCCTGATATCATTACTATATGGTCAGATAGACTTATTACGTTTTGGATTCGCTTCGGATCTCATCGAATTCGTGCACGAGACAAGCAAAGTCCTCAATAAACCCATTCAATCTATTAGCACTAACTCAAACTGCAAAGATAAGAGGTGGGCCAGAAGTCAACCCCAGTTCGTTGTAAGAGGATTTGATACATATTGAATAGCCTTTTGCATTTTCCTGGGGGACATCATGGAGCTGAAAGTATACATGAAACGCAAAACAACGACCTTTCTGTGACCCATGTTAAGTATAATATCGGTTCGTTTCCTAAGCATATAGACCTATCAAAATTATTTAAGGTAAGCTGCTTAATCGAACCTATGACCGTTTTGTCGTTGTCATGTTACTGTAACTGATTTACAACCGATTGCAGGCCTGGTGCGTCGATGCTTCGAGTGCCGATCCCGGGGGGAGAAGGGAGACTGTCGGGACCCATTCCTCTTCAACCTGACCTCGTTGCTCGGAGCCGGGGCGGAAGGGGACAAGGCGACCGGGATCAGCACCAGTCCGTGTGCCTCGGGTTGGTGCGAGAAGATCCTGGAGGGAGGCCAGGGAACTGATGGTCAGTTGACTGTGGTTATTGCCCAAGATAGACTTGGTGGTGTTAACTCCATATTTTTGTCACCAGACTTCGACCAGGCGACGCACCGTAGGTGCCTGTTGAGGGGTCCACCTGACGGACAGGAGAGGTGTGCACAGGCAATCAAGGAAGGGAGAAAGGTCTTCACTTGCTTCTGTCATGGGGATCTCTGCAACCATGCTGTCCATATCAGCCTCTCTTCCCATCTTTTATTCCTCCTTATCCCCCTTGCCCTCCTCCACTTTTGACACTGCCCACAGCTCTACCAGGTGGAAATTCCTGTTGCATTTAAATTTTGGCATTGATAATATCCAAGTGAGTGACGAAGCCAAATGTAGGGTGCATCACGTCGACTCGAAGCTGGACCAAGTGGGTCCCTATGAGAGTTTTTGAGAGTTTGAGGCTTTTTGACATGATCCCAATCATAAGTGACTATTTTTTGTACAGATATATGATTCCTTGGAAGTAAATATTTGAAATGTCTTGAAGATTTTTTCATGTTCACAAAATTAAGTTTCCAGTGTCACATATATTGGGTGACATACACCGGATCTGTTTAACTTGAAACTGATCTGGTTTTATAATGGGTGTCTAGGGGAATAAGATTGTCTCTGCCAAACGGATTCCCATAGAGGACCATTGAGAGATCAGATTAGTTTAAGTTAAACAGGTCTGGTGCATGTCACCCAGAGTCTGCAGTGCTTTTGCAATTTGTTCATTGACCCTTTCAACACTAACCATAGTTTTCTGTGAGCCCACGAACAGCAGCAGTCTAACATTTCCTTTATTCACATATATGACATGAACGGTAGATTTGGTAGATGTCTTTGTAGTTGAAATACCAGTTATGCAATAGCACTGCAGATATTAAATTAACTGGGTGCTTCAGTGGGAAATATTCTTGAAAGTGGAATGCTAATGTACCTCAAAGAGCTAGCACCCTTATGGGAGCAGTCTGCAAGATATGGAACCATGGAAAACCACTCAAAAAGCAAATCATCCCTCCCCTGAAAAATATTGCATTTCTGTGATGTGCTAAAGAAAAGTAAGGAAAATAGGCAAATGAGGTAAATAGTATCAGGAGTTCAACTGACTTGTTCCAGCTGTTCAACAGTTGAATAGCTATTTGGCTATAGAATTTAGTCTTGGCATTGCATCATGGCACTGCTATTGGTATACATCAGATGAGTGACCTATTGGAGATGTTGGGTTTAACTCAAGGAGAAACTATACCTGAAACCAGTTTGGTTCCACCAAAAAATTAGTTGTATTAGTGTGCCTCCTTTCCTGAAAGGGAAGAGTCCACTGATAATCTTGTCCTGTCTGTACATCTCTCTCATATTATCTGACAATAGCTTTAAAAAATATTGACCTGCTCACTCGAAAATTGCTATGGAGGTTGATAGGGGCAAGGGACAAACTAACGTTCATTTGTGGGAAATTTTGAGTTTAAAATTGTTAAAATATATTGTACTTTTATAACTTAGCTTGTGACAGGAAAGGCACTAACAACTGTCAACCTGCCTGAATCTGAATTTGAGGTGCAGGTGCAGCATTCGGCTGGGGTTGGGACGTCGCGTCACCGGCTGGAGCTGCCTGTTCCCTTTGGGCCTTTGTGGCTGATGGGTCTGTCGTTGATGGGTGGACGGAGATGCAGTAGATGGCATCATGGACAGGGTTGCTAACTTAACTACTGCTGCAATGCTACACGTGATGCTCTTCTTCCGTCTGCCACATCTTGTTCCCGACAGTCATCGAAACGAAGCCCACTTCTGGACCGGACTTCCTCTGCTTCTTTTCCCTACTTTTGCTTCCACAACAAAGGCCAAGGGGAAAGAGACGTATTGGATTCCATGGCACAACGAATTGAAGTTGGTCAAGTCAAGAAAAACTCAGATTCCCACAAAATGGAACATGGTGTGTCGTGTTTCCCTTTGGACTTCGATTGAGGATTTAAAACTAAGAAAAGTGAATGAAGGCTTCGAAAACGGCATCCTTTCATTACCGATCGGTTACGCTCGATTACACCTCGCAACGCTATCATGAAATTGATATCATTAGTGAAGTGATCATGGATTAGATAAGTGTGATGCAATCAGAACGTGAAGAGAAACTTAAACCTTTTTGGTTCGCTTTGTATCCCCGTATTTTCGCAGCTCAGAATTCGCCCGTTTTCATTTTGTTCCCTTTCGTCTGTTTTGGATGTTGTTGACCTGACAGACTAGAACACTAAATTTCAAGGTTGCATCCTGAAGCTGCAGAAATGAGAGAAATTAAAATTTTTTCCTAATTCTCTGGTCTTTCCAGAAATTCTTCCGAAGAAACTTATTCGGTCCACGACGAAAGAAATCGGCTCCCTCATTATTTCCCACGATGGCGTCAATAATTTTCAATAAACCAATAAGAGTGCAGGTTTGGAAATGAAATCCGGAGCAACACGGATTTGAGGCACGTAATCCCCCCCGGTTGCCCCCTGGTTGCCCCACGGTCGCCCCGGCCTCGAAGCGGTCACGCCCGAGACGGGAAAATCGTGCGACGGGATCACGAAGGGACGGTAAGTCCCACGGCGAGAACAACGGTAAATAGTCGCTGGAAACAAACGCGGGATCCGCCATCGCGGATTCACGCGATTTCCGCAAGAAAACGAAGATCGTCGCGCGACGGCGGCATAGCCCCATTTTGATTACGAGGGTGGATCAAAAAGTAAGGCGAAAATGCCTCTACTTTTTCGGCCGAACATATTTGTAGAAACATAATTACACCGGATGAAACTTAGCAGTGTGATTTCGCATTTGAACCAAACACAGAGACATTTTGTGATACGGAAGCTTGCCAATTCCCGCTGCATAGAAATCAGCATCCTGAATTGATGGAAATCGCTTCATCCCGTAAGCGGGGTGGAGGGAAGAATCCTCCCGTCCCGTACCTGGTAGTTGTACCGTGAACTGGGCGGTGAGAGGACGAGGATTCGTCGCATCATTCGTTTCTTGGAGAGCGCTCGATGAGTCAGTGATGAA